TATCAATCATATTTGTTATCTTTTCTTTCAAGAACTTAATCGTTAATAGCATCAACTATTGATGGTAAAACGTAATACAATCGTAACATGTGTCTCATTTCTTCGAAAGAGTATGTTACAAGAATACGATGCAAATTTTTTCATCGTCTTATTCGAAATCGCGCTTACGATTGTGTACTGCAAGTCGCATCGCAAAAAGAAAGTAGTCCCATGAAAAGGTGTAACAATCGAATCTACAACTCTTACTTTATGAGGTGTCGTCAAGCATAGCTGCATACATTTTAGTTTTCATTTCTTACGTTTGTTGTTTTCATGGGCATCTTTTTAATTGTAAAGCCCTAGATTTTTAAATTGCGCGCAAACGCACACACGCACATTTGTTTCGAAGCAAAGCAAGTCGACTTGAGCTTTAGCTAATTAAGTTGAGCTAAGTCCTGGAGCTTTGCTAGTTAATTCCATTGTTTCCACTGTTTCAACTTTTTAGACGCATTACTTAAGATTCTGCAAATCATCTATAAGCTTTTTTCGATCATTTTGGGAATTATTATAGTTCGTCAAATCGAATATTTTATGTTTTCTGTTAAGCTCTAATTACAGTGCAATACAAAAAGTTTTTATTGAAAATTAATGATAGACTTTCTAAGCAAAATCAATATTGAAACTTTTCTTTAAAAAACCCATTAAAAGTTGATTACATGAATATTATTAAGCAAGACCACATTTATGCGTATAGATGTAAGAGATGTAGAAGAGAAAATGGATTCTTTTTTTTTTTTTTTTGTTCTTGCTTTTGTTGTGTTTACAAATACATAGATTTGGCTCTTGTCCTATACCTACATCACAAACACAAACGCATTTCTTCTCTTAACTAGTTCAAAAGTCTGTTTCACTCCAAATCTATTCTATTACATGTAAGCGTATATATATATATATATCTCTTTAATTATCGTAAACATAAGCCAAATAAAAGTTTAAAAAGGAGAAGAAAAATAAAAAAAGAAAGTTAGGCTCATTTTAAGGCGAATTTTATATACCCGGTATTAAGGAGTTTAAGTATAGAAAGTCTTGAATCCGTTTTACAATTGAGCACAACGATCGGATTCCCTAGATTACTTTGGTGTAAAATTCGTTGATAAAATTATTTACATATATATATATTTTTTTTAATTACTTGCGGTTGAATTAGTTAAGAGTAAATATACTGAACCTGCCACTTCCAACTTAATATTCAGAGTTCAGAAGTTCGGAATTTAAATTTATACTTTTGTAAGGATAGAGAGATATAATTAATTAATCTTTCCAAAATACAATAACAAGCGATACTTCTTGCGCCCACGATCTCCCATGCTCCGTTGTTCCACAAACGAAATGATAAAACTAGCATATCTCTACCATCTATGCTGTTTGCTAAAATGGTACAGAAGTCTATCTGAATTGTGAGTATATGTATGTGTGTGTGTGAGTGTATGTGTGTGTATGTGTGTGTATGTGTGTGTGTGTGTGTCTATCTGTTTGAGTATGTTTGAATGTGTTTTTTTTTCTGACCAGGTGTTTTTATTATATTTAATCTCATTTTCTCGAGGTTAGAGAGCAAAGGCGATGTGTTCTTATTGCTTAGCACGGCCAAAATAAGGAAAAAACTTTTATGTTCATTCATTCATGATGTTCTGTCATTAGCTAAATTAGGTTTTAACTTTTTTGTATATTTTCAGGTTTTTCTCCTTTTTGTTTTTTTTTGTTTTTTTTTTTTTTTTTTTTTTAACCAAATTTTTTATTATTTTATTTAGTTTTTGTTTTTTATAATTTTCACTCATTGCCCAGAGTTGGTTTAAATGCAGAAAACTAAGCCACATTTAAATACTTCTGGCTTTGTGGATATCTTTTAGTTTGCTTTTGTTTTTAAGCCTGAATAGCTTGTCCTTCTTTCGAGTGTAAGAGTAAAAATTAAGAAGAAGAAGAAAAAGAAAAAAACGAAAATTGTACAAACGAAAAGTAAACCTTTGAATTATTTTGTGTGTACGCGCGTGCGTTTGTATGTATGTACGGGCGCGCGCGCGTGTGTGTGTGTGTGTGTGTGTATGTATGTGTTTGTGTCTCGAACGTCTTAGCATTATTAAATACATTAAATTTTAATATATTTTCTCTTCCTCCATAACGGAGAAGACAGAAGAAAAAATATAACTAAATATTACACTGTCGGCTTTTTAGCTTTTAATATAATGTTAACAATTTAGTCAAAGTGATTTTTATAAACGACAGTTGATAGTTTCTATGTTCCAAAGTTTTTAAAATATCGAGGATATCGGATGTAGATGCAAGATGTGGATTAAGTGAAAAAATCTTTCCAAACCTCTCCCCGTCCTTTCGCTGAAACCAATATGTAAAGAAAAGAATTTGTTTTCTTTCTTCCTATTGAAAAGACAATAAGTAAAATATTTCTCTTTATTGCTTTAGCCAAGTCTCTCTCACACATGTATAGCCAGGGACACACGTACATCACCTGATTAAATTATTTCTTTTCGTTTTATTAGTTAACAAAACCTGGGATCTTATTAGACAAATTGAAGCAACCCTCCCACACCATGCCGCATCATGTCAACAATAGCGTAACAATAATTGCACAGCTGTCCTTTAACAACAATAATACACTTTTCTCTCCAAATTTTCAATACCCTTTGTATAAATATTGGCAAAAATTGTACATATTCCAAGACGAAACTTATTTATAAAAAGATGATTAATTAACGATGAGATTGTATCCAATTTTTGTCGCCGACAAACGCCGTTTGCAGATAACTGATATATTGATAATCCAATGCAAAAGAAAAGTGGTCTTCAAAAAGGAGAAATGTCTGATGTACGTGATTTAGTTTCCTTTCTCCTTAGTTTAGTTTAGATTTCTCCTTAAATCTGTGTGTATACGACACTGATTTAGACAAATATTATGATAAAAATTTTAGTTAAAGTACTATCTGCTGGCGTCTAGTACATGTCGGAGTTTTGTATTGAACACCAAGTAGTTCCAGTGCTACTCACTTTTTTATACCCTACACAGCTTGTGGCACATTATTATACGATAAAATATACGATCGATATATTGATTGCATCTTTCAATCAAACTCACAAGCCGTTTGTGCGCATTACAATATTCAGACCAAGCTACATACGGCTTGTTTCGTTTTTGCACCCTACACGACGTGCGGTGCAAGTATCTATCCGCCTGTCCGTCTTGTTTTCTTGTGTTCAACCTATAGTTCGTAATTTTTGAGATTTTTAGGCGAAATTTGTTGTATAGATGATTTCGATCCAACAGAATGAAAAAGGTTAGGAAACGTTAGGATCGGATCACTTTTTCGATCATTTTCCATGTAACGCTTTATTTTAAAAAGTCGTTATATGACTAACCATAAAATGGTGTATGATATTGTACGATGACTACTATAGCCTTTTTATCTGATTTTTATTTATTGAACTAATTACAAGAAAATCAATTATAGAAATTATTCAGCGCAAGTGAGATGTACACGCGTATATAGATTAAAATGTTAATCATTAACTTTGAAAGCAGATTCAAAGAAAAGAGCACATGAAATGAGATAATAATGAAGTGTGAAGAAAAACTATGCAATCGAATAAAACCTCAATGAGAATATATTATATCGGGATACGTAGTAAATGAATTCAATGCGGAGAATTATTAATTAGTTAGTTGGTTACTGACTTAAACGAGACAGATGCGAACGAACTGAAACATCTTACATGTTCAATTATAAAATACCTTGACTACATTTACTGTGCATAGCAAAGCATATAGCGGCTTGTGTCGTTTTTCTTTCCTTTTTTTTCTTTGTCATTTGAAGTATATATCCACATATATAAGTCAATTAACGACAGTAATATGCGTAAAAGATCATGGACGAAGATTCACATTTTATGACAATGTGTCCGTTTACATTGAAGAAATGTTATCCTTTTACATCGGGCAACAGGTTAGCATGTAGCCATAGTTAGGACAATCGTTTAGGTAAGTAGTTGAAGAGAAAGCCCTGGAGCTTATCAACAGAAAGAATGTTATATATTACGTATCAGACGGGACCGTAGGCGTAAGTACGGCACTGATATATAGAAGTTCAAAAGAAATGTCAAGAACTTATCAACAGGAAGTGTATCGTATATCAGGCTAACATATAGCTTCTGTTTATTTTTTTAATGAGCCGCCGAAAATTGCGAAAACTTTAATGAGAGATTTTAAAGCGCCCATTTAAAATCGTCAGACTAGTTTCGCGGCTTTTCTCAACTCAACAAAATCCATTAAGTGCAAACTTTTAAAATCTTTTGCTCTGCGGTTTCTGCGATTTCCAAGTATTAAAGGCATGGCAAGAATACTTTACTTACATCTGCACGCTATCCATAGATATAAAAGTTGGCAAAAGCGTTGGTGAATATCTATTATAATAAAAAAAAATACAAACGATTTTCTTACTTTGTTGCAAAGTTCGAAAGAACATTAAGCTACGAGGTCATTAAGAGCACAAAATACTTGAATTTATATTATATCAGTGGTCATTATAAAAACTAATTTACTGTTTTTAAAGAGATAATGGTAGTCACAAAAAGAAATATGTTTTTAGGCTGGTAATATGTATTATAATCAAGAAAGAAGAGCAAAGAGAAAAACATTATTGAATTTCTGTATCAGAAAACTTTACCAAGCATCAGCTGTTTCCTAATGCGAGTTATTGATAGCTTTTATATTTTTGGGAATAGCTATTGAAGTTACATTGCTTTATAAAGTAATGAAACATATGGTATCAAGAATATAAGCCATACATACACACACACATACAAACACGCGCGACTTTATATGTTACGGAAATATCCATTGCCAAGACAACGCTTTAACGGTTACTATCGACATATAATAGTTTACCATGGCAATCAACTATAAATAAATAGGAGGCAATTGCAAAATCGAAGAAGCTTAGATTCACGGATTATTAGTTTGTCTTAAACATTCATATCGATATAATTTAGTTTTGGAAGGGAAAAATCGAAATAATGGACACGTCGGTAAATCTCTTTCAAAGGCCTATGAATGCTTTGCAAAAGCAATGGTATCGTTTATTATTGGCACGTAAAATAGGTTTTCAGGTCGATGGAAAAACTAAAGAAATTCCCGTAGAAAAAACTTAGTAAGTATATATATATATATATTTAAAATTCAATGGGATTTTACAGTATTTGATTTCGTTGAATGTGTGAAATTTTTTATTTGCAAATGTGTACGTGCTCAACGTATATCCGGAAATTTTTCCTTTTTTTTTTTTTTTTTTTTTTTTTTTGTTATCTATATGCTGCCGCTGCTGCTGCTTTCAGTTCGACAATTTGCCAAAAGCGTTATAAGGAAGCATTTCATCGTTACAATCAACAATTCCACAAGGAAATTAAACAACTAGAAGCTATGCAACCGAGTGCCATGGATGCTATGAGAATTCATAGGTTAGTTGATTGCTTAAAATATCCTTTCATTTTATCTATTTTTTTTGCTTTTCATCTTAAACATTTAAAGCAAGCTTCTCAAGACAGAATGAGTAAATAGTTACAAACGTATAAACAATTTTTTCTTGAACTCATTTTTAGTTTTACAGCCCATTAATTATCTTTCCTTCTTACCCTTTCTCGAATGGGTAACATTTGTATAATATTATGTACTGGACAAAACTTTTTCTTGCTAATTTAATATTCGTTTTACTTTTTTTTGTTTTTTTATTTAGAACGTTTGCCATTACCACTCTTTGGCCGCCGTTGCACTCGAAACGTGAGATCAACTTGACACTGGCACAACTCGAGAAGGTTTTAAGTGTCAACGAAAGACGACGCTTGCAACAGATACTAAAATATGGCCCGGACTTGAAACGTTTTTAAGTAGTTTTCTCTATCCCGCTCTCCACTTATTTTACTTCGCTACTCTATACATTCAGTTCTGTTTTTTTTTCTTCTCTTTTTTGCTTTTCGTTTTTTTTTTTTTTTTTTTAATCGGCTTTCAGTCAAGCACTGTAATTTGAAATCCGAAAACAGTCAAAAGCTTGTGCAGCGTATAAGTGCAAATAAAGTGAAAATGAAAAACAATTTTAACGTCAGTGCATTTGGCAAAAAGAGATTTAGTAACAAAAATTCAAGAATTTTAACCATAGAATCAAACAATTTTAAGTGTGATTTTAAGCACGAAAATGAAAAAAAAAAAAACAAACAAACAAACAAACAAACAAACAAACAAATAAAAAAGATACGTGAGACATAAAGTGCATTGCGTATATTTTTCCTTATATTGGCTTTGAATTAATCACAAAGCGCGTTCGTTAAAGAACGCAATCGATTTTGTGGGATTGGAACGTGCGAAGAAAATGTTAATGCTACTAAAGATGTTGTGTGTATAAGACGCTTTTCGTTCTTGTTATAAAGTCGAAAAATTCTATAAGAATAATTTTGCTTTTAAAGATTCGATGGAACTTTCTGGACGAAGTTCCTTTAAATATTTTAAAATTTTTGATTAAAACGATTAAATGAAAACGTTTTTACTTGATTGCGAGCGTAGTGGCCTATTTTGAAACAATATCTCTGGTATAATATGTAGCGCCGAACTTTATTTTTTACACAAAGCTATATGAACAGGGTTGGGGTCCGGGAGGGAGAAGCGTGAAAAGAAGGGTTGGGATGTAGCTTCAGCACGTGAGGTATACAAAAGATCAGTAAACGTTGTACCATTAATGAACAATATCGGATATGTCCAATCATAATTAGCCTATGCATCTCCAGTTTTGAGTTTGCGGAATATCAGATCGTAAATTTTTTCAATCGTTTCTGAATATAGTAAAATTAATTGGGCGACTTGAACATTGTTCATTAATTGTGCTTATGCAACCACGCTGACATTCAATCATCCACATTACCTACTGTGTACCCACATTTGTGCCTTTCGTTGAACTTCAGGCAAAGTACGTGTGCATGCATTTGTGTTCATTTTTTAAATTATCCCAAATAAATAAAGCCTACGTTTCCACTTAAAACTTGTTGTTAATTGAGGGTATGATTCCCTAGCGTCGTCGACTAAACCTCAGAGTATATAATCCCTTGAAGCTAACTAAATATGTGAATCTAAGGCGGGCTATATCTATAACTTCAAATTATGTTTACGAAAAGGCAGTAATTTCCAGAATACAATAACTTAAGTATTAGCGCTATATCTCAATAAGTTTATGCTGATGAATTTTATGATAGCCTAGATTTAGCGACGGGTCAATACAATGTAGGACGAAAATCCTGTGATACTGTCAGGATAAACCGTGGATTATCTGTCATACTGAAGTAAATAACTCTGAATGTGAATGAATGTAAGTATCTACGAAATTACGAAGAAGTACTGCTGGAAATGTGGAAACCCGACAAAAATGAGAAAATAACAATGATTTCAAGAATTTATCGAATTTTTGACTATTTTAAATTTCATCCGGTCATCAGAGAAGCTTTTTTTTACAAGCTGAATCGACTTGCTGAATGTTCTGAAATGTGACATATGTCCGTCTGAAAACATTCTATCTGACACTAAATGATTTTTTTTTTATTGTAGGTTCCTTTGATTTCTGGGTACGCTTGAACCATGAAAAAAACTTGGAGCTCTGCTTTGAAGAGGTTAATGCCGATATTCAACTAACGTAATTTCAGAGTAAGGCTTTATAAGGAAAGAAAACGTCGTCCGATCCGAACCATTTTCAAGCGCGTCCGTCGTTGGACCAAAACGTGCCAGTTTACTCTACCAAAACATCTCAAGAATTACGGCCTGCAAGTTAAACAAAAAAAGAATGCAAGAAACACAGACGTACCGACAACCCTAAGTAGGCGAAGAAAGTGACGAGTGCTGTAATTACAGGCTGTGTCTATCTCAAGTCCATCTGAGTGTTGCATACATCCGCACAAACCCATATAACTTTGTATTACAAATGGTGGACGGTATAATAATTATTTTTTAATTGATTTTGTGAAATAATTGCTTAAACATAAGTAATTTATTTAAAAAAAAATTTCTTTAAGAAAACTTAAAGTTCTTTATTTTTACAAATATTTGTCTATTAACACGAATACTCATTTAATCGTAACGCTCAAATGAAGTTTAAGTATGTTTTTGTTTTCTGAAATAATATGCTGACAGGGAAATAATTTACAAAAGAAATAAAAGCAACAAAAACAGCAGCTGCTGTACCTTATTTACATGTTGTTTACTTAGGTACATGTGTATTTGAACCAAAACTCAAAACGCTGAACGCATTTATAAAAGCCAGTGCATATATAAACGCACCTTTTGTTTAAATTTGTCTGATTATATGTGTGTGTGCGTATGTGGGCGTATTATAACAAAGAAGAATTTCAAACACTTACTAAAAATATAATTTTCTTAAAAATTTTTACTTGTTTTTTTTTATGGATTTTTATGTTAAATAAAGAAGCAAAAAAAGAAGAATAACAGAAGCCCTTACCCTATTAAAAAAAATAAACAACTGCGTAAAGTAAACAAATGAAATGTTTAACAAGAATAACAACAAATGGGTAATAAAGCCAACAAAGAACGAAAGATCTGAAAGTTTCTTCGAGAATCAACGTTTCACAGCAGCAGCAGCAGCAACAGCAACAAAGGTTGGAAAAAGTAAACATTCGATAAAAAAAAGTCTATACGGTGGTTGGTTATATCCAGGGTGCGGTAAACAATTGCAAAGATACTTAAGACCAAATGAGTAAACATAACGGTGGAGGACATCAGTGCGTTCTTATATATGAGAACATCTACAGCAGCCAGAATACATATATATATATGCTAGTGTTGTTAATGTTCTTTGTGTTTTAAACGAACGAGCAGTCATATTTTTAAGGAATGAGAATATATAAGAGTGAGAATATATAAACTTTCGGACTTGGTTTCTAAACCGATTTATGTACCTGAAATATATGCGATTATCTTTGAAGTTTCTATTCAATTTAAGTCTTGTTTGGTTAATGTTGCAGCAAAAGTTAGGAAATGTTACTCTCTTCTAAACTGTAAAGTAACTAAATGCGTAACAGCGTAAGGTATCAAGTTGTGAAATTATTCTATAATTAATGGGATTAAATTTACCATCTACCATTTGGGCGTTTGGGTGTCAATGAAACCTACTTAAGGTTCCTCTACTTCTTCTAAAACAATCGTAGCCACTACAGCCTGCAATTATATTAACGTTAAGCATTGCTTGCAACACTACTCGTCCACTCTAAGAAAGTAAACGAAAACAGAAACAGAAACAAACTTTCTCTTAGTTAGAGATATGTTAATTAAATGGCCTAACAATTCGGAAAGTTGGCGGATCAAAACGACTTTAGAATTTCATTTGTGAAGTTGAAAGTATATTTGTTTTGCTTCAGCGCTATGAGTAAATTATTGGCAACTTTAGATTTCCAACGATGAAGGGAAGGATGATCGGGACAGTTATTTGTCTGCGGTAGAAGTGTTGCTACGTTTTGCCACCATTGCTTTCGAATTGTCCATTTCTACTTATTACTTATTTACTGTAGGGCTTATGATGTCAGCGACAACATTTTGAGATTTTATATGATATGATATGATATATTTATAGCTGTTTAACACGTTCAAACCAAACTATGTATTTGTCGCATCTATATTAAAATACCCTCTTTGGACAAAAGACAAATCTAACTTGAAGTATTTTATCTGGATTGTGATCCTGAAAATGACAGCAACAGACATATGCGAACGGTCGATTACTTTATGGAGTTTTCTATACTCATATCGGGAAAAAATACTTTATTTTTCGTGTTTAAAGCATTTTTCGAAGCATAGCAGAAACGATAGACGATACAAATCGTCCATTGTATGTGCAAACAATTGTGAGATAATACAGGTTTGCTGAGAAGGGTATCGAAGTTTCGTCATGATTTTTCACATTTGTGTATATAAAATAATTTTCAATGTATTTTAAATATTACTCTTTCTGCATACAGACTTCATGAAGTGCAACGCATGTTCTCAATAAAAACAATTTGCAGGGTAAATAATTTTACCCAACACATGTCATTTATGCATAATTTAAACAGCTTAAAACGACCTGTAATTCAATGAAAAATTTAAAAATAAATTCCAATAATTAATGATATTTATGGGCATCAAGATGCAGAAGCTTTATTATATTAATTTTTTCGTATTAGCATCAAAGCCCTCAACACAGTAATGCAAATGGGGATTGCAATCCTTGACGCAGCATTTTTGAAAGGGGAAAATACAGAAGAAAGTATCTTTGAATTTAGAATTAAGTCATGGATTTTTAAAGAGCTACGGTAGCTTTTTGATACTAAAAATCGGTTTCTTATATCGTATATTTGTCTATTTTACTTTAAAGAACAATGCAATTGCATTAGCTGCTGTCGACAACGTTCCTTAATGACAGTTTTGTTGCTTACGAAAAGCTCGTGATATGCGATGACCATCTTATCCCACCAAGAGGTAATCATGAGCTTGGAGACTTGGGCATTGGATAATGTCGTTGACTATCGCAGGTAGCTATGATTTCTTGTCAGTATGATTTTATTGTTTACCATCAGCTGAATTTCGATGGAAAATTCTCTTTATTGGCCATTGTTTAGATATGAAACATGGGTCTTCGGACGTTTCTTCGTGCGATACGAAAACATATTTCTTTTTTTCTTTCTGGCAGTTGCTCACGTATGAACAGAAGATCTTCAATGTTTCTTAGCATCGGCTTGTAAAGCAGCCGATGAATCTATTCTGTTCAATTTCCAACGTAATAAAATGGTCACTTCTATAACCCGCAAAGAGATTTTAATTTTCTTGGGTTTGTATAGCCCTTCTACTGGCAATTTCTTCA